CGGCTTTGATCTAATGAAGATAAGTATTTAAACTCCTTCCACAAGAAACCTTAACCCTAACCGCCAGTGAAAATCGGAGAAGAAGAGGGGCAGCCGGAAAGCGAACCAGTAGCTAGATAAGAAGACCGGCCGCCATCGCCGCCGACGCCGGGAATGTGAGTTTTTTTCCCCTTTCGCTTCGAAATTCAATTCTAAACCTCCTCACAACCATATCGGCACCGAAAAACCAAAAGAAAGCCAGAAATCGAGGGCAAAGCTAGGCCAAACCGTTGCACCCGCAACCTAAAATCCCTCTAGTGAGCCCGAACCCCCTTCCCGTTTCCTTCCATTTTCTGACCATTGTATTCCTTACTCTTTTCTGGTGCAGGATGACCGAAAAAAATTCCTGGCCATGAGAGAGAAACGGCGAAGTCACCGCACCAGAAAACCACCCTGCCAGTAAACTTCAATTTTTTCCTTTTTTCAGCCAATAAAGGCCACCTAACCTCGAATTTTGCAGGTTTTCACACAGAACCAACAGAAACCGGCCAAGCTGAGAGGAGACACCGCCGTAGGAAGCGGAGCTGGCACGATGCTGAAACCTTAAACCGGCCGAAAAATTTGAAAACCTTTATTTTTTGCCTTTTTTGAATATTTCAATATACGTTACTAGTGTTTTCGATTTTCGCAGAAAAAACTCAAGAAATCCATAAATCGCCGAGAAGTGCAGTGAAAAAGGTGGTGTTTCGAACTCCGACCCGAGTTAAAAATCTCTCACCCTTTCTCTCGTTACGGTTAATTAAAGTTTAAATAATAATAAACAGTGAAATTTGTGAATATTGACAATCTTTTATTAACGAAATACAGGTCATCGATGGAGCCGGTAACTGGTCAATGTATAATTTATTTATGTTGTCTATTTGTTTTTGTGTTGCTTAAATTGCTTACTGTTACATTGTATGCTTTAATTTATTGATTTTAATTGTCTTCTTGTTCATTAGCTTACTTAACCGTTTTATCTATATCTGTTGATTGGTTTGAAATAAATGCCCTGACAACGTTTTCTTAGTAATTAAGGTACCAAATTATATTGTCGTTTAATTATCATTATAATGTTCTGAAATTATAAAACAAGATTTTTGTATGTAATTGATTATTAGTTTATGATGATGATATGTATGTGGAAGGCTTACCGAGTATCACAGGAAAAGGTGTACAGACCCGATACATAGGGCAAACCCTACTATCAATATTATCTCAAGCGAATGGGGCCGAGAAATTCCATACTGGAAGGGGTTGAAAAGTATTTGTTCACCCTCATACCAGAAGGGATATTGAGCCGATAGTACATTTGGCGCCCATTATCAGACTGGGTATGAGGACGGCTTGTTATTTAATAGATTGGATATTGGGTTCACGTATAGGGGGAACTCCTATGGACCCCCAAAGATACCGGTAAGTAAGTGAAAAGGTAAAGTTTGATTATTGTTGTTTCTTATAATATCTAATGAATTACTATCTTGATTATTGTCTTCCCAAGTCGTATTTGAAAACCTAAAAGGTGAGTATGAATTACGTTTTTAAAATTAAATGAATTTATCTAAAAAGAAAAATGACTTCATTGGTTGTTTTGTGATTTTTACCAACATTTGGTTTTTCGTATCAATTGTTAAGTGTTGATATTCTTACTGAACTAGTATAACTCATTCCCCTTATTTAATAATTTCATATCAGAACGACCAAGATCCGGATCCTGAATAGTAAGAAAGTTAGCGACTAAAAGTTGTCTCTCGTTTTCCATCAGAGTTGCGCTGCGGAGGTCGACCCTATAGTTTTCTAGTTACATTTCTATTTCTGTTATTTTAATTTTTTTTAAGGGATATTCTCGTAATTCTATTGGGCATTCTGATTTAACTGTACAATAAATGTAAACCCTAAATTCTAAATTGTTTCCGCTTATATTTCATTAATTCAATATTTTCATTCAATTAAATTTTGGACTTTTACATATAGTGTTTTCAACACTAATTCTATAAGGACAAGGATTAAAAAGAAAAAAGAAAATTTACTTCTAGAAAATAATATAATTCCTAATTAAATAAGAAAAACAGATCTTAACTAATCTAAGAATTAAATATAACTAAATAGTAATATAATTAGAATAATACTAAACGACTACCTATTTAGGAATATAAATCTAAAATAAACACTAAAGATTTTAATAATAAAAACAATAATAATAGTATTCTCATAATTCTTCAACATCAAGCTCTTTCATTGGCTTACCTGTTCTTGTTCTGCTTTCAAGTTTCAGAAGCATAAGCATATTTAGTTTTTATGCGGAGGTATGATGAACTGAACTTCAGCCCTTAGTTTACTCAAATAACAAAAAAAAAAATCAGCCCTTAGTTCCCATTTCCAAATTTAGACAATAAATCGATAAGACGGATAGACACAACTCTTTTTTCTTTGACCTGAATCTTAGAAAGCTTTAAATCAAATTTTGTGGAAGAGAGAGAACCAAAAATTTCATCCAACTCACTAAGAGATGCAAGAATTAAGGACATACTTTCCCTCCATTAAATATCAGTAGCCTGAACATTTAAACGATAAAAAGTAACAAGTCAAAGAAGTAATGGGTATAGTTTGGAAATGCAAAACGAATAGGAGTTCTGTGAGATGACAGTTTTTCTTGCATAAACACTTTAACGATCAAGTCAATAGCTGTGGAAAAAGAAGAGCGAGGAGTAGCTAGATAGCAGCTTGGAAAATTGGGTAGAAAAAGATTACCTTTGTCTGGATCAGAGGGAGTATTAGTAAGAACTTGACTGTTTCCGGCAAGCAAGGAGTAATTGCAGCTTATTGAAGCAGCTTTTTGCCGGGTGTCAAGGCTCCTATAGTGGTATCTTCAGAGGTGACCCTTTAACATTAATATCTGAATTTTAAGGATCTCACTTGATATGATTGGCTGTTTGTACTGTCAGTCTTCTTCCAATGCAGCTGGTATAAGAACATGTAGACCTGTTGGGTTGAATCCCAAGATTATAGTGCTAGGACTATTAGGGCAGCAGCCCATTGTCTGGGGTAAGTGAGTACAAATGAGGGCGCCTAGTCCACCTGTCTGGCATCAAGAGTCCTTTAGGTCGGTGGTCAGCCACTCAAGAAGTGTTTCAGTTCTAGGCGTACTTGGTGCTGACCTAGGTGGTTGAATATAGTAGGCTTACCACTAACCTTCTTTAAAATGAGCATCAAATGGAGATAGGTCAGCTAAACTGATATGTGATGCCTCGTCTGCAGCCAATCACAGTAGCTCTTCTACCACCAGGCCCCCTTAAAAACTGTATCTAATGAAGATGGGTCTACTAATCAACATTTGGGATCTTGTCTGCAGGACTGAGTGCAATAACCTATGAATAATAAGTAATGATTATATCTAAGAGACTTCTTTGTATTTTGACAGATAGTTGAGTACGGAGACTGTAACGACCTACTGACGTCTAATTAAGGACTGCCCAGTTCTAAAATCCACAACATTATATGAAAAGGTTCCTACACAATTACGTTCTAGGGACACTCATAGGTTCAAGACAAACTGGCAGAAAATACATGTACCACCCAGATGTAAGGTACCGTAAATGCTAAAACCTGAATAAAAAATCAAGCTTACAAGAAACATAGTAGAACTCAGTGGGTTCTCAAGAAGCATACTCAAAGATTTAGGATAATGAGAAAAGTGACAACAAAAGCCATTTCTCTCAAAGGTCATTAGTACACATGTTCAGGGAGAAGAAGATTAATAAGAAAGCCCTTGTTGTTGTCCTCGAAATGATATAATTCTATCTGTCCCTGTTGGGAAGACCTCAAGCTGCATGCCCCTCTACAATACAATGGTGGTCCAACATCCTAGGATTAAGCAATTCAAAGATATTTAAAAACAAATATGCTTGAGGGAGGTCCCCATGCAGCTCAAACCCAACAGAATTAGCAAGTATTAGAGAGTGGACCAATTGCAGCACGGAAGGATGAAATGAAACAATGCATCAATACTTAATTGCATCAATACTTAATTAGCGACTTAAACTAGGAGTATATTTGCCACAGCGTAAATACAGTAAACTCAGTTGAAACAGGTAAAAAAGCTGAAAAGCAAAACCAAACAAAAAAACAAGAGAGAAATCCCGACAACCATCTGAGCTGTTGTAAAAACGCTAGTTTAAAGCAAACCATGCAAGAACCAACTGAGATATCAGATTCCTGCCTCACATAACACTATTTTAAAGCAACCTGGGCCCAAGTATAAATTCTACATGGAGAGCTAATTGAATTTGAAGAATCTCAAATGATCCTACCAACTCAATACTAAGATATGTATTATATACCCCCATTCAGATGTGATTGTACCTATATTACTTGCATTCTTAATTGGTAATGGATGTCAGATGGTGGTCCGGGTGGACCAGCATCATTAAAGTTTAAACTTTAAATGCTTTAAATTTCCACATGCAGTTATTCAATCATTTATCTGTAAATACCTTTATTGTTTCTTTGCCTAGACGACCATTCGCGCTAATGCCCACATAGCACAATATTAATACGAGTTGAGAAGTATCACACTATCACTAAGAAGACAAGGAAATAAAATACCAAACAGAAGATAGGATTGTAAATTCCCAATCTGTACCAGGGCATAACTGTCCATTAACAAATTAGTAAAGTTAAACTATTTGCAGAACAATAATTAAGAAAAAAGACACCAATGAAAATTATATGATGACCTCTTGTTTTATTTTCTAAAAATAAAAATTTAAAAAGAAAATAAAAGAAAAAAAAAACAAACAAACAAATATACTGAGGAAGTGAGGTACACAATATCTGAGCAACATTCAGATAAATCCTTGAAAAGTTAATTAAGATCACACAAAATGGACTCGATTAGGGTTCCATCCAATTCCAAATAATTAACAAAGAATCACCAAAATAGAAACAAGAAGAATAAAATTGAAAATTTAAACCTAACTTACCAGTAAGATCAGCAAGAAGAGCTCTACAGGGACCCTGAGTCATGTTGTTAGCCACGTCTAGAATCCAAAACCCGAACACAAAGACCGCAATCGCCCTAGGTTTCAAGTTTCCTCTATCCCCAAGCAACCATCCGATATCAGCGGAATGGCCGATGATCAAGACCGCTACAGAGATCGATACCGCACCGGCGACGATGAAAGGCCTACGACGGCCAAACCGGCTGGTGCAGCGATCGCTCATGTGGCCGACTAGTGGCTGCACCACCAGGCCAGATAGCGGCCCGCAGAGCCATATAACGCTGGCCCATGCGTGAGGGATTCCCAGCTCCTGCACGTACGGAGTCAGCAGAGAGAGCTGCAAAGCCCATCCGAATTGTATCCCGCACGCTATCGACGCCACCCGTAACAGCTGCTTCAACGGAACCCTGCCCCGTACCGGCTGTTGCTGCTGCGATACCGGCCTGGCGCCCGGTCTAGCTCTAGATGCTCGATGTTGACGCTGCGGTTCATGAATTGCCATTTCTCTTCCTCTGTCTTAGGCAGACAGCGAAGCCAATTCTCTCTCACTGTAACCGGTTTTGTTAAAGTTTTGTTTTCGGTTTATGGGAAACTGTGAGGAGCGGAAGAGAGGAGGAAGAGAAAGTTGGCGGTTTCTTTCGTCAGGTCATGAAGGGGAGAAGCAGCTTGACTGATCGTAGCTACTCATAATTTAAAATTGTTAGACCCCATATTTTGGTTTATTTACAGATATACCCTCATGGTGGACAAAAATTAGATTTGACCACAAAAAATAAAAATAAAAAATAAAAATAAGATGTTGCCTATTGTTCTAATTATTTACTAAATTTTACTATTTAAATATAAGAAAACAAATATTACAGCGTAAATTTAGTTTGAAATTTATTTTATTTTCTTTTAATTTTTATTTTACTTATTTAATATACACAAAATATTAATTTAATTTATATATCTTTTATTATTCAAACATTTAACATTTTAACACGCATTCGTTTCTTTCTTTTTTTTTTTTTTTTTATTCTTAGGTTTGCCAATTTTGTTGGGCATTAGCGTCATTTTCTATGAGGCGCTTTAACTGAACTTATTATTATGCATTTTTAAATAAGAGCTATTTTCAGAAGATATTTTTTTCATAATTAAATATTGTACAATTATGTGTATTTTGAAAGTATTGTTTGTATTGATGATATATATAATTATATGATTCGGTTCTGGTGTTCAAACAGTTAAATATAATTTTTAAATTCTTAAAATTATATCGTACATATTGAGGTTGAAAATTGATTACTTTATTAAAATTGAATGAATCAATTGTATTTATTTTCAATTAGTTTGATTATTTATTTATTTATTACAATTTAAATTTATTTATAAAAAATATTTTGTTTTTAGAGTTTAAATTAAATTAATCAATAATTTTAACCAAATTTTTTATTTTATAACTTTAACCTTTTTAAATTCATAACTTCAATTTTTTAAAACAAATAATAAAACGGCCCATGAACTCCAAATGTGATAAATTATAAATTTAGTGCGGAATCAAAGCAATAAGTTAGCATTTATATTTCTTACACAATAACTGAAAGTACCTAATGAGACTTACGGGAGTAACTATTTTTAAAAAAATAACTAATAACTAAAGAAATAAATTAAAAGTAAACAAACTGAATGTTCTACTCGCAACCCTCTTGTGCATCGGGTTCTGTATTCTAATCTTCTTGATTTGAAATGGTTAATGAAAGAGTGAGTTACACTAGTATAGTGCGAATATTACGCTACTCACCGATAAAAAAAATGAAGGTTGATAGAAATCATAAAAATAACTAATAGAGCTCTTAATTTAAGTAAATTCGTTTGTCATAAATAAAATTATTTACCGCATACTTACCGTAACGAGATTATTAAAAGCAACCTATAGAGTCAATAACATAACACATATCATAATTTTATATACGATCAGTTTGAACAACAACCTTCTCTTTATCAGCTTACTGGTATTCATAGGGGTCCATAGAGATGTCCTCACTACGCATGAACTCTCTTTTTTTACATTTTTAATTAACGGGCCGTCCTCATACTCTATTCGGTATGAACACCAAAAGATATCATCTTTCAATACCCCGTCCGGTATGAGGGTAAAACGGATCGTCCTCATACCTCGTCTGGTATGAGCACCAAATTACCAAACCTCGATACCCCGTCCGGTATGAGGCAACGTTCATGGTAAAGTTCTCTATATATCTGGTCCGTCCATCATCTCTCAAGATATCCAGTAAGGTTGTCGTTTCATCTATCCACTTAATCAAACAATTTTTCGTTTACCTTTAATTTTCAGTTTTCCAATTCAACCATAACCACATAAAACAAGTAAAATATGCATCAAATGAATACAATCGCATCATCATACCAATTTCAATGTATTATCATGCATTTGAAAACTGTAAAATCAAGCAATTGATTAAACATAGGAAACAATAGTAAATAACCGATTCCGACTCCATTAGTAACATGTAATTAATTATGAATGTTTTCTAAGTTTCACAAAATACTATATTATTTAAAATTAAACTTCAATTCCATAACAGGGAATAAGGTGAGGGATTCTTACACAAACTAATGTCTAAAATGCTAACTTTTAACTGCATCTATTGGCGGTCCTCGAATTCTCTGAATTTTTCTTCGGCGGTTAAAACGTGCTTCAAGTACTAGCGGCGAGGTTCTCTGGTGCGGCAGTTTCGCCGGCTCACTTTCGCAGTTGGGTATTTTATTTCGGTCAACCTGTAAAGAAGGAAATGGTGATTACAATGGTGGAAGGATTACGCATAACGGGAATCGAAAAGGGACTCATCGGATATGATTTTTACATTTTCCCACGGTGGCGCCGTTGGCTTTTGCCCGCGGTTTCCGGCCAATTCGCCAGTTTTTTTGCTCCGATTTGGTCATGTGGGTGTTTAAAATCGAATTTCAAGTAAAGAAAATTTTTTTAACCTATTTTGGCGGTAGGAAGTGGCTCTGGCGCGGTGTCAGTCAACTTTCTTCCCGGCGACGGGGTCTTCTTCTCCAGCAGGGGGTCTGGTGGCTAGGGTTAGAGTTTGGTATGAAGAGAGTTATTTATATATATCCTCTTTTGATCTGGGTCATCTATCGCGTTTGATCTGAACCGTTCAATCGCGATTAAATAAGAAGTGAATCTGGGTCGTTCATCGCGATCTAATATGAGCCGTCCGATCGCGTTTAAATAAAAAGTAGATATAGACCGTTCATCGCATTTAAATCTGACTGTCTGATCGCATCTGAGAATGGAACAGATCCGGACCGTCCATGCGCACAGGAACAAATTTGGACCGTCCAATCGCAGGTACGTGGATCGCCAGCGTGGCCTCTTGCGTGGCACCGCATCAGCGTCCCTTGCCACGCGGCGCACTCCGGTTCGTCAGGGTTGCTGACCGGACGTCTCACGTGGCACAATTTTCTTAAATGACGTTTTGACTCATCAGTTTCTGATTTTTCTTTTAAAAATACATTCGAACCCAAATTTTCACCATTTTTTTTAAATTATTTTTAATTTCATCGTCCATTTAATTTTCTTCATTTTTACATTAAATAAGAATTAAAAAATTAAAAAATTATATTTATTAATTAATTTTAATTAAATTAATTAGGACATTACAAATAATATTATTTGCAACTTAGAGTTTTTATGTCTGGCATTTAAATGCCACTTTCTTCATTTAATATTTGCATATTAATTTTTAAATTGTTGTTTTTAATTAAATATTACATGGTAGTTTATTTTTCTCAAAAAGTCATCTATTAATTCATTACCCACCAAATTATGACTTAGCAATTAATTTTTTTCTATTCTGATTGATTATTAATAGTAACATATGTTACTTTTATCATTTAAAACATAATTTGTAAGTCAAATCTTATAATTTGATTTCTCAAAGTTTGTGAAATATATATATTGATATAATAATATATAATTGTTATCTATTTAAATATAAAAAAGTCAAGATAATTATATTTTATTTATTTTGTAGATCTTTGGTTAAAGACTTTGATTATGATTAATTTTTTAATATTTTTGTTAATTTTTTATTTTTATATAATTTTATTTATGTAAAATGATACTTATATATTATATTTTATATAATTATAAAAAATATATTCTATCCGTATGCATGACATGAAAAGAATATAATTTATTTTTATTATAAATAAAATAGTTTCAGAGGGGCAATTAAAATTTAGTAATCTATATCTAAAAAGTAACCATGATATTTACACATTCAGTGCATAATTATATTTGTTATTTAATAATTATTTATTTGTATTTTAATCAATCAAATAAAATTTTAAACTAAAGATAAAGATACATAAATTATTACGAATTTTAAATTCGTTCTAAACTATATTACTTTTCAATTGCCCGAATATAATGTCTTAACTTCATTTGCTTTGTATTGGTGGTCCTCCCAAGTTAGACATCGTTACACAGATATTAGAGTTAAAGGTGTAGACAAGAGGGTTTTGAAATATCATTCTTGTTTTTCTGTAAGAGGGTATGAAAGGCTCACACCTGTTGAACTAGTATATGCTTTTTTTTGTTCGCGTTTTATTTAGTAGCGTCCACGTTTTGTCACATTCTGTGGGAGATAAAGAGTATAGGTGTCCCATGATCATATAAAAACAAATAATTAATCGTATAATTAACTAATTAATTAAAAATAAACTTATTAATTATTATAAGTAGTGTGGTACAATAACATAGTGGGGTTAGTGAATAAGATTGGCACATTGATTAAAGCATTTGCCTTTCAATTCAAGACTTGGCTTTATTCATTATCTGCTGTCAAATGACCCTGTGTAGGTGAGGTATCACATCTTGGTCACCGTGACTTTAGTTTTCCCTTTCGGCTCCTTTTTTTTTTTTTTTAATTTTTAAATAAAATAAAGAAACACGACAATTTAAGTTGTTCCACAATTTTTCAAAAAATAATAATTAGATATAAAGATTTTTTTTTTCTGAGTAAGTACTAAATAATAAATAATCAAAAAAACACTGAGTACATAATATTTTCATTTTCTGGGATCAAACCCAGACTTTAATTTAAAAAAGTTAGAACCAAATTTTAACATGGTTCAAAATTATGAAACTACAACAACAAATTAACTATTAGTATTTAGAACATAATTATTACTTTTTTTTTTTTATTATTACTTTTAAAAAAAAAAACTAATTGTAAATGGGGGGTTATTATTTCGCACTTGCGTGCGTGCTGTGTGTATAGATATGTATGCGTGTGTGTGGACATGTGAGAAGATTACGTGGGTAGTACCAGAAATCTGGACTTTACAAAATCGCACGTGAGAGATGTCAGTTATTAGGCTCCACGACAAAGTTAATTATCTCACTTCGTATTATTCTCTGCTTGCTTATTATTTATAACAATTTCCCAAAAATTAATTTTGGTAATTGCAAATTTACCACTTACTGATGGAAAAAATCATGCTGTAGACATTCTAGGCACTTCAGCCCCATTTCCATGCTGTAGAATAACCTTGTTGCTTCGGGACAACATAACATGAACAGTTCCAGAACTTTGAATAAAATAATTACATGGGTAAAATTTTACTAATAAAATTATGAAATTTCAGTATTAATTTATATAGAAATTATAAACTTTTACAATAATGTTTTTAAAAACATTATGATTTGAATTTAAAATGGCCCATAAATTAAAGCCTAATTTTCAAACAACGAGGAGTGGGAGCCCAGAAAGTGAACGTGGGATATCTTTTCTTTCTTTATAAAGTAATAATAAAACAGTTTATTAAAATATATCTGTTTATTTTATTCACCAAAAAGATTTAAATTTATAATTTTGGTTATTTTTGAAAAATAAATTTTAAGGGTTACATCTTTTTAATTTATACTAATAATTTAGGTAATTATTATAATGTCAAAAACACGTATTTTTCTGTAAATATCTAGAACAAGAATCACATAATACTTTTTATTATATACCTAACCGTAGGACAAAAAATAAATTTTTATTATGCACCTGACCATATAGGACAAAAATTAATTATATTACTATATTTAATCTTACACCTCAAATTTGAGAAACCAAAAATAAAATAAAAATAAAACTAAGGGAACATATTTTGAGTTCCAATGCATATATGTTCTTGAATATTTGAATATCCTATTCTTAAAAAAAAAAAATGATATATTATATACTAAGAGACATGATATATATATATATATATTTTTTGTTAAATTCATAATATTTCATTTAAATAAAAATTTAACTCACTAATAAATTAAATTTTATATTTAATAAATAAAATATTATAAATTAATTGACACTAATTAATAATATATTCATAGAGTGACTACGTTTATCTTTTAAATACAATCAAACTTGTAACTTTATATTAGTAATAAATAATTTTTTTAATTTTCATAACTCGAATTTTCATCTTATAATCTATAACTATTAACTTAAAATTTTAAAGGCCAAGTCTTAAAACTACAAAAATGTGTCACTTGATTTTAACAAGGCTTTTCCGGGGGCGAGCCGTGTCAGTCCTGGAAGCGTCCCGAGTCCTCCTCACCGCCATATCCATTGGCCACAGCCTTTCAGACCAAGCAACAGTGCATTTTACACTGGCGACTTATATATACACATTCCCAATGGTCGTCAACTTATCCGAGTTCATCCCTCCAATGCCTAATTCCCCAGAAAGCTTCACAGAATTCCACAACGTCTGGCTCATTCGTCTAAAAGATTTCGTCGATCAACTCCTGCTCGCGGCCGCACCGGATCATAACCCGCAATACGCCACCGAAGAGCAGCAGAGACGCTTGATCGACAATGTGATGTCTCATTACCACTACTACTACCAAGAAAAATCAAGGGTTGCCAGAGAACAACCCTACCTGTTCTTCGCTCCTCCATGGATGACTTCACTGGGGACCTCCCTGCTTCTCTGGGTTGGTGGCTTCAAGCCGGCCACGATTTTCAATCTGATCGCAACCTCCGTTAATGACTTGACTGCAGAGCAGGAACGGAAGTTGGAGATGGTGAGGAAGCAGACGGTGGAGGCGGAGAGGGAGTTGGAGAATGAAATGGCAATAATTCATGAGAGTGTGGCTGCGCCGCCGCTTATGGGTCTGGTGCGGCAAATCGGGATGGAGAAGGTCGGGAGGCAGAGGTCAGCGGTTGACCAGGCGATGGAAGTGTTGAACCATTCGATGCGGACGGTGCTGGAGACTGCTGACAAGCTACGGGGACGAACGATGAGGAAGACGGTGGAGATTATGAGTTCGATTCAGACGATTAAGTTCTTGGCCGCCGCCGGGGAGATGCAGCTGAGAATTAGGAGATTAGGACTAGAAAGAGACCAACACAGAGCTTCTTCCTCCTAGTACTATATTACTTGTTAAAAAGATAAATACATTTTAATTAAATTTTACTAAAATTGAAAAATATAATAAAAGATATATTTATTTTAATATAAAAAATATATGGATCAGAGATCAAACAATTGTGAATCATAAAATAAAAGGGCTTAATACAATTCCATTCGCATTAAAATCTTCAGTTCAATTTAGCCCCACGGCCCCATAGTTTGGTAGTTTTATTGAATATTTGCATAATAATAAACTTAAAATGAATTTTTTACTTTACCATTACGTGTAAATCTTTAAAAATTAAATTTTTACATTTTTAGCTCCAAATTTTATAATCTTCGAAAAAAATCAAATTTAACTATTTTGCTCAACTAAATTTATTATTAGTGTCCATTAAGACATACTTAATGGCCACTTTTTCATCACAGAATTTGCACAAAGATGGTAAATTTTTTTTTTAGTTCATAAATTTAATAATTTAATTATATACACACACCAATCACAATACAATTTATCAATAAAAATACATAAAAATATATAACCAAACTCAAAAATAAGTTCTTAATAGGGTGATTGATCATAGATGCTGTAAAATATTTTTACATTTTCCTTCAAGAATTATGTGGAGTCTCGTTATTTCTTTGCCAGCATGCACCAATTGACTAAAGTTTTAACATCTTATGTAGAAGGAAACATCAAAATTTAATTCATGTTATTAATTAACAAAAAATTAGTTAAAATATAAACTAAAACTTAAGAAAATTATAAAAACATCAAAATTACTAATTAATTAAATTAGGAACCAAAAGGAAAAATTTAAATCATTTTGGGGCCCTTTCTAATTTTCAGGGGCCAAAATACAAACAACAGTCAAGAACATATATCTTATATCAAGGATCGATGATTTTTTCTATCAATTATAAGATGTAAGGATATTTTCAAAGATTAATTTGATGATAAGATATCATCATATCAAGATCAAGATAGAAGATATTCTAAAAACTACTTTTAGAACCAGGTATGATTGTTATGAATTATGGGGGCCTTACCTTTTGGTCTAACGAATGCACTGACAGTGTTTATCGATTTGATGAATTAAGTAGTCAGGCCTTATTTGGACAATTTTATTACTGTATTCATAAATGATATTCTGATATCTAAGAGTGGTGATGAACATGCTAAACATTTTAGATGCATTTTGGAGATTTTCAGAAGAGAAAAATTTTATGTTTTATGTTAAGTTGAGCAAATGTGAATTATGGCTTGCATAATCTTCTTCCTCGGTCATGTAGTTTCTAAAGAATGGATCACAATAGACTCTATCAAGATAAATACAATAGTGAACTGGAAGCATCCTACCACTATTACAGAGATCCATAGCTTTCTAAGGTTAGCAGTTTATTACTGCAACTTCGTCAAGAGATTTTTCAATATTGCAACTCCCCTTATTTAGCTTACCAAAAAAGACGTGAAATTTGAATGGATAAAGTGTGTGAAAATAGTTTCCAAGAGCTTAAGAACTGGTTTGTTACAGCTCCAATGCTAGCTTTACCTAGTGGTTATGGAGGTTAATATAGTGATACAGATGCATCACATTAGTCTATGTTGTGTTTAATGCAAATGA